AATTTTTGCTGTTATCATTCCATGATTTTACCAGAGCTCATATTGCAATTTTTGTTGTTATTATCGCTTTTCTCTGGCACTCCTTATTACTGGTTCCCATATTGTATTCATTTCTATGCTTGGTCGGCTCAGAAGATTTTTGTGGCCTCGCATAACAAACTCAGCCATGTGATATGCATATTCGATGAAAGTCTAAGTAGTTATCAGGAAAACTGAAATTAAGTTAAAATAAATTCTCATTGTCAAGTAATAATGATTTAAAATTTAATATATACCAATAACAACAATTGATTTATTGATTATTTTGATCATAATTTACTCATTTTCATGTATCATCTTTCTCAGTTACAACCAAGGATAGTTCAAGACTCTCACGCCTTCCACCAAATCTAAGACATGAGCCCCCCACCCCCACTCTACTACATCTCAATTTCCATAAGGTAGTATTCATATAAAATACAAATTTTGTTGTAACCTAATTATCTACAATAATGGATCATATGCAAAATAGGCGAACAATTAAACTACAAAAATAGAAAATAAATACAGTGTAAGCAAATAGAAATTAAAGATATCTCATAATTTCGAACCGAACCCTTTATTTCATCCACCGGAACGGTGTGTGTGTAGATTCTTCTAGTTCCACGTACCATACCTCTTCCGGATGTATCAGTTATTTCCCTTTAACTCAACTCTTCATGTTTTGGTTTAACAGTGCTGTAGCCTGATATTGAACTCACAGCTCTTTGGGTCTTGTCACTGGATCTAATCAACGTCTTTATCGCCTGGGCTATGTGTCCTTGAGGACAAAATAAAAGGTTCGATTCGAAATTCCAATCACCTGAAGAAAGCCGGAGCATACAACGACCGAAACGTTGTGAATATGGCAATGAAGGTGAGGATAACAGTCCGAATAATGTGAATAATGTAAGTAATCATAATACGTCATTTCAGAGATATAGACAGATATTGAAGAAAAATTTCAGTCACATGAAGAAGGCCGAAGCGTACAACGGCTGAAATGTTGAGAATATGGCAATGGAGATGAAGATAACAATCCAATTAATGTAAATAATGCAAATAATCATAATACCTTATCTCAGATATAGACAGATACTGAAGAAAAATTTCAATCACCTGAAGAAGGCCGGAGTGTACAACGACGGAAATGTTGTGAATATGGCAATGGAGATGAGGATAACACTCCGAATAATATAATAATGCAAGTAATCATAATACCTCATCTCAGAGATATAGACAGATATACAATCCATTTAAAAAAAAAGGTACCAAAATAGTCAGTTGATCGTCGATCCAGGAGGTATCTAACACATTCTGCCTTGCTGTATCTTTGCAAAAAACAATTCAGGGTAAAAATGGAGTATTGTTGTCATATCTCGACTGGAACTGCTTTCCAGTCGGGATTGACTTCAAAATCGGTTACGCGTTCTTTTGAGTGATGACTTCTTTTTCACTCGAAAATCACTTCCCCAGAGACAACGTTGCAACAAAGACCTTTTCAGAAGAGCTGTGCTCTTTAGTTCCACAATTTCAGACCTTTACTCCTAGGATAGGCACGTTATTCAAATCACATTTATTTCCCCATGTTCCAAATATTAAAAAAGAAAAAAGTTCCATTTTGCTACATTATGGAACAGTCTCCTGCGTGGATGCTTTCAGGAATACCTTAATCTTGACCCTGTTATCCTTATTCTCAGAAACCCCACTTCTTACCACCGTCTATTTCATTCATTTCACACAAATCACCATCCACAATTTGACTCTATTTTGAGTGGCTCTCGAGTCTTATTAGGCCGTTATAATTTTAAAAAAAAGAGAAAGGAACATTCATTCTGATAGTAACTGCAGTTTCAAATATCCGCTGCCGTCTTGAAGCACATTTCTTACCAAGAAACACGAGCTAGATTTTTAAAGAGAATATAAGCAAATCCTAAGAAATAAACTAGATATACAGGGTGTCCATAAAGTTCGTGTGCACTTAAAAAAAATTATAACTTTATTTGTATTTGCGATAGAAATAATCTGTAAAAATGTTATAAAGTTTAACGTACCAAGTTTTAAGTATAGCTAAAATAACTAATGTAATTTTAGGCATTACTGTAAAATCAGTTGGCAAATGTTTTCCGTGAACTGCAAAATCGTATTATACTTTGTATTGCTAATGATGGCGGACATGTGGAAACATGAATAAAATTTCAATAAAACCTTAAAAAATGTAGATTTACTTCTTTCTAATCCTTTTTACAAATTATTTCTATCGCAAATACAAATAAAGTTATAAATTTTTTAAAGTGCACACGAACTTTATGGACACCCTGTATATCCAAAAGATTTTTTAAAAAAGTAATTACAATTACACATTAAACATAATAGCAAAGACAAAGGGAATTTGTTTGTGATAAGTGGGTTGTTAGATAGCGGGGAGGGTTTGTCGGAAAACCGGAAGATAGAATAAGAGCAGATTACGGAGCCGAGGAATGTGTTGATCAGGTTACGACCCAGATTTGGGGAAGCTTTTGTATGGTTTTAGTTGAGAAATAGGCTACTTCGTCTGTTGGAAGCTTGAAAAGCGAAGACCCCGTTCTGCTTAAGATTGCGTTTCTTCTTCTTCTTTTTTTTTTTACTCAGGGATTGTTTTTCTTAATTGTTTAGCCGCCCTTCCACACGTCATTCGTTCGACGTTACGAGCTCTCAAATATTTAAAGTAAAGGAAAGAATAAAACTGTCCCTCTTTTTTCTGCGACTTTGAAGTTAACCGCTTTTTTGTGACTGAGTGTTTTGACGCGAGACGGGGGTTAGGGTTACAAAGGGCGGCCTCCTCAAGAAGAAGAAGAAGAAGAGGAGAAGAAAAAGAAGAAGAAGAAGGAGGAGGAGAAGAAGAAGAAGAAGTGAAGTCGTGTAAATTCCAATAAGGACGAAAAGAAAAAAAATAAGAAAGAGACAGACGAGAATTCACGTTACAATACAAAACAAAGAAGAAGGAGAAGGAAAAGTAATAGGAGGAGGAGTAGATGAAGGTAAAGGACAAGAAGAAGGAAAAGAAGAAGAAACAGAAGAAGGAGGGGGAGGAAGGGAAGAAGTGAAGTGTAAATTGCTATAAGGACGAGAAGATAAAGTGGGTGAGAAGGATGGGAATGACGACACAAAGCTAAAAGAAGACGGAGGAGGAGGAGGAGGAGAAGGCAAAGAAGTAGTAGTAGTAGGAGAAGCAGAAGAAGGTGCAGGTGTAGAAGGAAAAGAAGCAGAAACAGAAGGAGGAGGATGAGGATGAAAAGTGTGTAAATTGCAATAAGGAAGCGAAAAAAAAGAAGGGCTGGAATTTAAGTCACAATGAAAAAAGTAGAAGACGGCGACGATGAAGAAGAAGGAAGAGAAGGAAAAGAAGAAGGATCGGGAGGTGGAGGAGGAGGGAGAGAAAGAACAGAAAGAGGGGAAGAAGAAGAAGAAAAGAAGAAAGATGAAGTGAAGAAGAAGAGGATGTTGGAGTAGTAATAGCAGTAGTAGTAATAGAAGAAAAAAAGAAGATAGAATGAAAGAAGAAGAAGAAACTTGTATGAAAGAAAAGAAGAAGCTAGAATGAAAGAAGAAAAACTGGAATAAAAGAAGAAGCTTGAATGAAAGAAGAAGAAACTAGAATGAAAGAAAAAAAAGCTTGAATGAAAGAAAAGAAGAAGGTTGAATGAAAGAACAAGAAGCTAGAATGAAAGAAAAAAAGAAGAAGCTGGAATGAAAGAAAAGAAGGAGCTAGAATGAAAGAAGAAAAGCTAGAATGAAAGAAGAAAAGCTAGAATGAAGGAAGAAGAAGCTTGAATGAAAGAAAAGAAGAAGCTTGAATGAAAGAAAAAAGAAGCTAGAATGAAAGAAAAGAAGAAGCTAGAATGAAAGAAGAAAAGCTAGAATGAAAGAAGAAGAAGCTTGAATGAAAGAAAAGAAGAAGCTTGAATGAAAGAAGAAAAGCTAGAATGAAAGAAGAAGAAGCTTGAATGAAAGAAAAGAAGAAGCTTGAATGAAAGAAGAAAAGCTAGAATGAAAGAAAAAAGAAGCTTGAATGAAAGAAAAGAAGAAGCTTGAATGAAAGAAGAAAAGCTAGAATGAAAGAAGAAGAAGCTTGAATGAAAGAAGAAGAAGAAGCTTGAATGAAAGAAAAAAGAAGCTTGAATGAAAGAAAAGAAGAAGCTTGAATGAAAGAAGAAAAGCTAGAATGAAAGAAGAAGAAGCTTGAATGAAAGAAGAAGAAGCTAGAATGAAAGAAAAAAGACGCTTGAATGAAAGAAAAGAAGAAGCTTGAATGAAAGAAGAAAAGCTAGAATGAAAGAAGAAGCTTGAATGAAAGAAGAAGAAGAAGCTAGAATGAAAGAAAAAAGAAGCTTGAATGAAAGAAAAGAAGAAGCTTGAATGAAAGAAAAAAGAAGATTGAATGAAAGAAAAGAAGAAGCTTGAATGAAAGAAGAAAAGCTGAAAGAATGAAAGAAAAAGAAAAAAGAAGCTTGAATGAAAAAAGAAAAGAAGAAGCTTGAATGAAAGAAGAAAAGCTAGAATGAAAGAAGAAGAAGCTTGAAAGAAAAGAAGAAAGAAGAAGAAGAAGCTTGAAAGAAAAAAGAAAAAAGAAGAAGCTTGAATGAAAGAAAAGAAGAAGCTTGAATGAAAGAAGAAAAAGCTAGAATGAAAGAAGAAGAAGCTTGAATAAAAGAAGAAGAAGAAGAAAACTAGAATGAAAGAAAAAATGAAAGAAGAAATGAAAAAAAAGAAGAAGAAATGAAAGAAAAGAAAAGAAAGCTGAAAAAGAAAAAAGAAGCTTGAATGAAAGAAAAAAAGAAGCTTGAAATGAAAGAAAAGAAGAAAAAAGAAGAAAAGAAAGAAATGAAAGAAAATGAAAAAGAAGAAGCTTGAATGAAAGAAGAAAAGCTAGAATGAAAGAAGAAAAAGCTTGAATGAAAGAAAAGAAGAAGCTTGAATGAAAGAAGAAAAAAATAAAGAAGTTAAAAGTGAAAAAGAAGAAGAAGCTTGAATGAAAGAAGAAAAGCTTGAATGAAAGAAAAAAGAAGCTGAATGAAAAAAAAGAAGCTTGAAAGAAAGAAAAAAAGAAGCTGAAAAAGAAAAGAAAAAATGCTTGAATGAAAGAAGAAGAAGCTTGAAAAAAGAAGAAGAAGCTTTGAATGAAAGAAAAAGAAGAAGCTTGAATGAAAGAAGAAAAGCTTGAATGAAAAAAGAAGAAAAAGCTTGAATGAAAGAAGAAAAAAGAATGAAAAAGAAGAAGAAGCTTGAATGAAAGAAGAAGAAGCTTGAATGAAAGAAAAAGAAGCTTGAATGAAAGAAAGAAGAAGAAAAGAATGAAAGAAGAAAAAGCTAAGAATGAAAAGAAAAATGAATAAAAGAAGAAGAAGAAGTAAAATGAAAGAAGAAAAGAAGAAGAAAGAAAAGAAGAAGAAGAATGAAAAGAAGAAGGGAAAAAGAAAAAAAAGAAGCTTGAAAGAAAGAAAAAAGAAGAGAATGATAAAAGCTATGAGGAGGGTAAAAAGGAAAAAAATGAGAAAAGAATGAAAAGAAGAAGAGAATGATAAAGAAGAAGGAAAGGAAATGGAGAAAAGGAAAATGAAAAAGAAAAAGAAGAAAAAAAGAAAAAAGAAGAAGAAATGAAAAAAGAAGAGAGGGTAAAAAGAAAGGAAAAAAAAGAAAGAAAAAAAAAGAAAAGAAGATAAAGATGAGGAGGAAAAAGAAAAAGAATGAAAGAAAAAGATGAAAAAAAAAAGAAGAAGAATGATAAAAATGAAGAGGGTAAAAAAAGGAAAATGGAGAAAAAGAATGAAAGAAAAGAAGAAGAGAATGAAAAAAATGAAGAGGGTAAAAAAGGAAAATGAAAAAAAAAAAGAAAAGAAGAAAATGGAAAAAAAAAGAAAAATGAAAGAAAAAGAAAAAGAAGAAAGAAAATAAAATGAGGAGGGTAAAAAGGAAAATGGAAAAAGATTGAAAGAAAAGAAGAAGAATGATAAAATGAGGAGGTAAAAAGGAAATGGAAAAAAGATGAAAGAAAAGAAGAAGAGAATGATAAAGATGAGGAGGTAAAAGGAAAATGGAGAAAAGATGAAAGAAAAGAAGAAGAATGAATGAAATGAGGAAGGTAAAAAAGGAAAATGGAGAAAAAGATGAAAGAAAAGAAGAAGAAGAATGATAAAATGAGGAGGGTAAAAAGGAAAATGGAAGAAAAAGAAGAAAGAAAAATGAAGAAAGAAGAATGATAAAAATGAAAGAAGGTAAAAAGGAAAATGGAGAAAAAAGATGAAAGAAAAGAAAAGAAGAGAATGATAAAGATGAGGAGGGTAAAAAAGAAAATGGAGAAAAGATGAAAGAAAAGAAGAAGAGAATGAAAAAATGAGGAGGGTAAAAAGAAATGGAGAAAAGATGAAAAAAAGAAGAAGAGAATGAAAAGATGAGAGGGTAAAAAGGAAAATGGAGAAAAGATGAAAAAAAAGAAGAAGAGAATGAATAAAAGAAAAGAGGATGAAAAGAAAAAAGGAAAATGGAGAAAAGAAAATGAAAATGAAAGAAAAGAAGAAGAGAATGATAAAGATGAGGAGGGTAAAAAGGAAAATGGAGAAAAAGATGAAAGAAAAAAGAAGAGAATGATGAAAAGATGAGGAGGGTAAAAAGGAAAATGGAGAAAAGATGAAAATGAAGAAGAAGAAGAATGATAAAGATGAGGAGGGTAAAAAGGAAAATGGAGAAAAAGATGAAAAGAAGAAAAGAAGAAAGAAATGAAAAAAAAAGAAGGTAGAAAAAGAAAAAAAAGAAGAAAATGAAAGAAGAAGAAAAGAAAGAAGAAAAAAGAAAAAAGAAAGGAGGGTAAAAAGGAAAAAGGAGAAAAAGATGAAAAAAAGAAGAAGAGAATGATAAAGATGAGAAGGGTAAAATGAAAATGGAGAAAAGAAAAGAAAAGAAGAAAAAGAGAATGAAAAAAAGAAGAAAAGATGAAAGGAAAAAGGAGAAAAAGATGAAAGAAAAGAAGAAGAGAATGAAAAGAAAGGAGGGTAAAAAGGAAAATGGAATGAAGATGAAAGAAAAGAAGAAGAGAATGAAAAGATGAGGAAGGTAAAAGGAAAATGGAGAAAAAGATGAAAGAAAAAGAAGAAGAAAAAAGGAAAGGAGAAAGAAAATGGAAAAAGTAAAAAAAAAAATGGAAAAAAAGATGAAAGAAAAGAAGAAGAGAGATAAAGATGAAAGGGATAAAAAGGAAAATGGAGAAAAGATGAAAGAAAAGAAAGAAAAGAGAATGAAAGAAAAGAAGAGGAGGAAAAGGAAAATGGAAAAAGATGAAAGAAAAGAAGAAGAGAATGATAAAGATGAAAAGGGTAAAAAGGAAAATGGAGAAAAGAAGAAAGAAAAGAAGAAGAGAATGAAAAGATGAGGAGGGTAAAAAATGAAATGGAGAAAAGATGAAAAAAAGAAGAAGAGAAATGATAAAGATGAAAAGGTAAAAATGAAAAAAAGAAAAGATGAAAGAAAAAAGAAGAAAATGATAAAATGAGGAGGGTAAAAGGAAAATGGAGAAAAAGAAAAGAAAGAAAAGAAGAAGAGAATGAAAAAGATGAGGAGGTAAAAAGGAAAATGGAGAAAAAGATGAAAGAAAAGAAGAAAGAATGATAAAGATGAGGAAGGAAAATGAAAAAGAAAAGAAAAGAAGAAGAAATAAAGAAAGGAGGGTAAAAGGAAAATGGAAAAAGAAAAAGAAAAGAAGAAGAATGAAAATGAAAGAAAAAGAAAATGGAGAAAAGAAAAAAAAAGAAAAAAAGAAGAAGCTTGAATGAAAAAGGAAAATGAAAAAAATGAAAGAAAAGAAGAAGAAATGAATGATGAGGAGGGTAAAAGAAGAAAAGCTTGAGAAAAAGAAAAGGAGAAGCTTGAAAAATGAAAGAAAAGAATTGAGAAAAAGATGAAGAAAAGAAAGAGGAGAATGATAAAAAAAAAGAAAAGAAAAAAGAAAAGAAGAAAGAAAAGAAGAGAAGAAGAAGAAAAGAAAAAAAAAGAAGAAAAGTGAAAGAAAAAAGAGGGATTGAAAAAAAAAAGGAAAGAAAAGAAAGAAGAAAGTGGAAAAAAGAAAAAGAAGGAGAATGAAAGAAAAAGAAGCTTGAATGAAAAGAAAAGAAGAAGCTTGAAAGAAAGAAAAGAAAAAGGAAAAATGGCAAAGAGAAAAGAAGAAAAAATGAAAGTCAGAAGACCTGAAAAAAAGAAGAAAGAAAAGAATGAAAAGAAAAGAAAAAAGAACTTGAATGAAAGAAAGAAAAGCTAGAAGTCAAAAAGTATAAAAAGAATTTTATCTAATGTCTGAAATGATTTTGCTGAACTAGAAGAAGCTTGAAATGAAAGTGAAAAAGCCCAATGAAAGCATCTTTGTTTTAATGATGGTGGACTAAGAATGGTGTTTACAGAAGTTGGGAAATGAAAGAAAAAAACTTCCTTGAAAATACAGAAAAAAACCAATGAATAAAAATTTCAAGAACAACCTTTTGAAATAGAAAAAGAAGCTTGAAAATACAAAGTCATTTTTTGAAAGAAGAAAACTTGAATTAAAGAAGAAGAAGCTTGATGGTGATAAAATCAAGATTCATTTTTGAAGAACCCTTTGAATGAAAAACAATTTTAAATGAAAGAAAGAAGAAGAAGAAAATGAAAGAAGCTCCTGAAAGTCAAATTTCGCAAACAAAAGAAGAAAAAAATGTTTCAAAGTAGAAAAAAAATAGAATAAAAAGACCATTCAACTGGTAAAAAGGGCATTAATCAAAAGAAACCACTAAAAATGAAAGTCAAGAAGCTCAAAGGAATGAAAACTCAAGAAGCAATGAACTAAATGTTAAGAAGAAAAATGATTTGAAATCTCATATCTGAAAAAAAAGAATAATTAGACAGCTTTTTGAATGAAAGAAAAGAAGATTGAAATGGATAGAAGAAAAATCAAAAAATGATAAAGAAGAATGAAAGAAAAAAAAAGCATCCAGTTGGCAGAAAAAAAAGAAAGCAGGCTGTAAAAGAAGAAAAACCCACCATTCAAGAAAATGATTATATTTATTGAACAAAAAGTCAGCAAAGAAATCAGACCTTGAGAATAGGAAAAAGAAGCAGAATGGAACATCCGCTTTGCTATATAAAAAAGAATGAAAGAAAAAGAAGCTTGAATTAGAAAAACTCTCTATTTAATGAAAGAAAAGAAATTTGAATATAGAAAAAGAAGAACTTTCATAGAGAAAATGTGGTATTAAGGTGGCTGTAAAGAAGAAAGGTTGAATGAAAGAAGAAAAATTAGAATGAAAGAATAAGAAGCTTGAATGAAAGAAAAAGAAGTTTGAATAAAGTTAAGACAGAAAAAAGAAAGAAAAAAGAAGCTTGAATTTTGAAAAGTGCCAATTTTGTATTTTAACAAATAAATATTGAATTCAAGAAGAAGAAACTTGAATACAGTTGAGAAGAAGAAATGTTTCTCCAAAAATTCTAGAAGAAGCTAGAATGAAAGATAATTTGTTAATCACATTCTCCTTTAAAAGAATGGGAGAAAACCTTCAGATGAAAGAAAAGAAGAAGGAAGGGTCTTTAAGAATGAAAGAAAAAAAAAAAGAATGAAATTAAAAAAAAAGAAGCTTGAATGGTTTGAAGAAAAGCTCAAACCTGTTGTTTTTCTGAAGATTTAATGTTGAGAAAAGAAGAAGCTTGAATGAAAGAAAAAAAAAGTTAATAGTTTAGAAAGAAGAAGCTTGGTATCATCAAGACAAGACCATTTTAGGGCATAGAATCAAAGATCTGTGTTTAATTCAAAAGAAAGTAATCTCTGAAATCATTGATTAGAAAGAAGAAATCCTAGAATTTGAAGAAGTTTCTCACCTGAAAGAAACAGAACCCAGAAAGTAATGAATGTTAAGTTTCGTTGTGAACCTCTGACGTTCTAGAAATTGAATGAAAATGAAGAAGAAGAAGCTTTTTTGAAAGAATAGAAGCTGTTGGATGTTTAAAAATAGCACTTCAATAATGAAAGTGTCTCTCACCAATTCCATCTGAAAAGCTCAAAATGAGACAGCTGAAGGAAAAAAGAAAAAGAAAAGTATTTTCAGAATTTGAAAGAAAAGAAAATGTTGAATGGTTGTTGACGCCTGGTAGAAAGAAGATGTCTTGAATCAAATTTTTTTCTTGAAGCTATAATCTGTCCAAAAAAAAGAATGAAAGAAGAAGAAGGTTGAAAAGAAGAAAAAAAGAATTAAAAAAAGATTTGAAGAATCTAATTTAAGAAAAAAGCTTGAATGAAAGAAAAAGAAGCTTGAATTAAAGAAGAAGAAAAGCCAGAATGAAAGAAAAAGAAGCTTGAATGGCAAAAAAGAATCCGTGGTTAATGTTTGTTTGAAAAAGTCCAATCCAAAGAAGAAGAATGGAACTAAGAAGAAAAGCAGAATAAAAGAAAAAGAATAGAATGAACCAAAAGAAGACTTAAAGAAGCTTTATCCTAAAGAAAAGAAGAACTGTTAAAATTAGAAAAAGAATTTTATATGGTGTGGTTAAAAAGAAATGGGTGAATGAAAGAAGTCATTAAGAAGACAGTAAATGAAAGAAAAAATATACGATCAAAGAAAGAAGAAGACACATGTAAGTTTGAAAATTGAATATAAAAGAAATACTACTGAATATAAAAAGATGCATCAATTTTTATTGTCACTTAAATAAACTGATCCTCAACAAGAAGAAATTAATGAATAAAGAATAAATGTGTTTAAAGAATTAAACCCAAGAAGCTTTGAAAGAAAGAAAAGAAGCACTGAATTAAAGAAAGAAAAAGAAGAAGAAATGAAATGAATAAAAGAAGAATTCTTCCACAATGAAAGAAAACAATTGGCAATACAAGAAAAAAAGAAAAAGAAAAAAAGCTTGAAAAAAAGAAGAAGTGAAATCAAAGAAAGAAATTGAGAAAGAAAAAAAGCAGCAGGAAAGAAAAACAGAATTGAATGAAAGAAAAAAAAGCAGAAAGAAATGATTTAGAAGCTTGAATGAAAAAGAAAAGACAATAAATGAAATAAGAAGAAAAGCTTGAATGAAAGAAAAGAAGAAGCTTGAATGAAAGAAAGAAAAGAAGAAAGAAAGAAAAAAGAAAAATGAAAGAAAAAAGAAGAAGCTTGAATGAAAAAAGAAGAAGAAGCTTGAATGAAAGAAAAAGAAGAAGAAAATGAAAGAAAAGAAGGAAAAAAAGAAGAAAGCTAGAATGAAAGAAAAAAAGAAGCTTGAATGAAGAAAAGAAAAGCTTGAAGAAGGAAGAAAAAAAAAAGAAAAAAAGAAGCTTGAATGAAAAAAGAAAGAAGAAGCTTGAATGAAAGAAGAAAAGCTAGAATGAAAGAAGAAGAAGCTTGAATGAAAGAAAAAAGAATGAATGAAAGAAAGAAGCTGAATGAAAGAAAAGAAGAAGTTTGAATGAAAGAAGAAGAAGAAGAAGCTAGAATGAAAGAAGAAGAAGCTTGAAAGAAAAAGAAAAGAAGAAGCTTGAATGAAAGAAGAAAAGAAGCTTAAATGAAAGAAAAAAGAAAGAAAAGAATGAAAGAAGAAAAGAAGCTTGAATGAAAGAAGAAAAGAAAAGAAAGAAGCTGAATGAAAGAAAAAGAAGAAAAGAATGAAAGAATGAATGAAAGAAAAAAAGCTTGAATGAAAGAATGAATGAAAGAAAGAAGAAGCTTGAATAAAAAAAGAAGAAAAAGAAAAGCTAGAATGAAAGAAGAAGAAGCTTGAATGAAAGAAAGAAAAGAATGAAGAAAAAGAAGCTTGAATGAAAAAAAAAAAGAAATGAAAAAATGAATGAAAAAGAAAAAGAAGCTAGAATGAAAGAAAAAGAAGCTTGAAATGAAAGAAGAAAAGAAGAAGCTTGAAAAAGAAAAAAAGAATGAAAGAAGAAGAAGCTTGAATGAAAGAAAAGAAGAAGCTTGAATGAAAGAAGAAAAGCTAGAATGAAAGAAGAAGAAGCTTGAATGAAAGAAAAGAAGAAGAAGCTGAAAAAAAGAAAAGAAGAATGAAAGAAAAAAAAGTTAAATGAAAGAAGAAGAAGCTTGAATGAAAGAAAAAAAGCTAGAATGAAAGAAGAAGAAGCTTGAATGAAAGAAAAGAAGAAGTTTGAATGAAAGAAGAAAAAGCTGAATGAAAAAGAAGCTTGAATGAAAGAAAAGAAGAAGAAATGAATGAAAAAAGAAATTTGAAAAAAGAAAGAAAAGAATGAAAGAAAAGAAGAAGCTTGAATGAAAGAAGAAAAAAGCTTGAATGAAAGAAGAAGAAGAAGCTTGAATGAAAGAAAAAAAGAAGCTTGAATGAAAGAAAAGAAGAAGCTTGAATGAAAGAAAAAAAAGCTAGAATGAAAGAAGAAGAAGCTTGAAAGAAAAAAAGAAGCTTGAATGAAAGAAAAAGAAGGAATGAAAAGAAAGAAGAAAGAAAAGAAGAAAGAAAAAAGAAGAAGAAGGAAAGAAAAAGAAGAAGAATGAAAGAAAAAAGAAGCTTGAATGAAAGAAGAAGAAGCTTGAATGAAAGAAAAAAGAAGCTTGAATGAAAGAAAAGAAGAAGAATGAAAGAAAAAAGAAAAAATGAAAAAAAAGAAGCTTGAATGAAAAAAAAGAAGAAGCTTGAATGAAAGAAGAAAAAACTAGAATGAAAGAAAAGAAGCTTGAATGAAAGAAAAAAGAAGCTGGAATGAAAGAAAAGAAGAAGAATGAAAGAAAAAAGCTTGAAAAGAAAAGAAGAAGCTTGAATGAAAGAAAAAAGAAGCTTGAATGAAAGAAGAAAAGCTAAATGAAAGAAGAAGAAGCTTGAATGAAAGAAGAAGAAGCTAGAATGAAAGAAGAAAGAAGCTTGAATGAAAGAAAAGAAGAAGCTTGAATGAAAGAAGAAAAGCTAGAATGAAAGAAGAAGAAGCTTGAATGAAAGAATGAAAGAAAAAGAAAAAGAAGCTTGAATGAAAGAAAAGAAGAAGCTTGAAATGAAAGAAGAATAGAAAAAGAAGAAGAAGCTTGAATGAAAGAAGAAGAAGCTTGAAATGAAAGAAGAAGAAGCTTGAATGAAAGAAGAAAGAAGCTTGAAAGAAAGAAGAAGAAGAAAGAATGAAAGAAGAAAGAAGAAGCTTGAATGAAAGAAAAGAAGAAATGAAAGAAGAAGAAGCTTGAAAAAGAAGAAGAAGCTGAGAATGAAAGAAGAAGAAGCTTGAATGAAAGAAAAGAAGAAGCTTGAATGAAAGAAAGAAGAAGAAAGAATGAAAGAAAAGAAGAAAGCTGAAATGAAAGAAGCTAGAATGAAAGAAAAAAGAAGCTTGAATGAAAGAAAAGAAGAAGCTAATGAATGAAGAAAAGCTAGAAAAGAAGAAGAAGCTTGAATGAAAGAAAAAAGAAGATTGAATGAAAGAAAAAAAAGCTTGAATGAAAGAAGAAGAAGCTTGAATGAAAGAAAAGAAGAAGATTGAATGAAAGAAAAAAAGAAGAAAATGAAAGAAAAACAAGCTTTGAATGAAAGAAAAAAAGCTAGAATGAAAAGAAGAAAGAAATGAAAGAAAAAAAAGAAGAAAAATGAAAGAAAAGAAGAAGAATGAAAGAAAAGAAGAAGCTTGAATGAAAGAAAAGAAGAAGCTTGAAAGAAAAAAGAAGCTTGAATGAAAGAAAAAAGAAGCTTGAATGAAAGAAAGAAAACTATGAAAGAAAAGAAAAGCTAAATGAAAGAAAACAAAAAGAAGCTTGAATGAAAGAAAAGAAGCTTAGAATGAAAGAAGAAGTTTGAATGAAAGAAAAGAAGAAGAAGCTTGAATGAAAGAAAAGAAGAAGCTAGAATGAAAGAAGAAGAAGCTTGAATGAAAGAAAAGAAGAAGCTTGAATGAAAGAAGAAAAGCTTGAATGAAAGAAAAGAAGAAGCTTGAATGAAAGAAAAAAGAAGCTTGAATGAAAGAAGAAGAAGAAGCTAGAATGAAAGAAGAAGAAGCTTGAATGAAAGAAAGAAGAAGCTTGAATGAAAGAAGAAAAAGCTAGAATGAAAGAAAAAAACAAGCTAGAATGAAAGAAAAAGAAGAAGCTTGAATGAAAGAAGAAAAGCTAGAATGAAAGAAGAAAATGAATGAAAGAAAAAAGAAGAAGCTTGAATGAAAGAAGAAAAGCTAGAATGAAAGAAGAAGCTTGAATGAAAGAAAAGAAGAAGCTTGAATGAAAGAAGAAAAGCTAGAATGAAAGAAGAAGAAGAAAAAGAATGAAAGAAGAAGAAGCTTGAATGAAAGAAAAAGAAGAAGAAGAAAAGAAAAGAAAGAAAAGAAGAAGCTTGAATGAAAGAAAAAAGAAGAAGCTTGAATGAAATTAAAAAGAAGCTTGAATGAAAGAAGAAGAAGAAGAAGCTAGAATGAAAGAAAAAAGAAGCTTGAATGAAAGAAAAAGAAGAAGCTTGAATGAAAGAAGAAAAGCTAGAATGAAAGAAGAAGAAGCTTGAATGAAAGAAAAGAAGAAGCTTGAATGAAAGAAGAAAAGCTAGAATGAAAGAAGAAGAAGCTTGAATGAAAGAAAAGAAGAAGCTTGAATGAAAGAAAAGAAGAAGCTTGAATGAAAGAAAAAAGAAGCTTGAATGAAAGAAAAAGAAGAAGCTTGAATGAAAGAAAAAAGAAGCTTGAATGAAAGAAGAAGAAGAAGAAGCTAGAATGAAAGAAAAAAGAAGCTTGAATGAAAGAAAAGAAGAAGCTTGAATGAAAGAAGAAAAGCTAGAATGAAAGAAGAAGAAGCTTGAATGAAAGAAAAGAAGAAGCTTGAATGAAAGAAGAAAAGCTAGAATGAAAGAAGAAGAAGCTTGAATGAAAGAAGAAGAAGCTAGAATGAAAGAAGAAGAAGCTTGAATGAAAGAAAAGAAGAAGCTTGAATGAAAGAAGAAAAGCTAGAATGAAAGAAAAGAAGAAGCTTGAATGAAAGAAAAAAGAAGCTTGAATGAAAGAAGAAGAAGAAGAAGAAGCTAGAATGAAAGAAGAAGAAGCTTGAATGAAAGAAAAGAAGAAGCTTGAATGAAAGAAGAAAAGCTAGAATGAAAGAAAAAACAAGCTAGAATGAAAGAAAAGAAGAAGCTAGAATGAAAGAAGAAAAGCTAGAATGAAAGAAGAAGAAGCTTGAATGAAAGAAAAGAAGAAGCTTGAATGAAAGAAGAAAAGCTAGAATGAAAGAAGAAGAAGCTTGAATGAAAGAAAAGAAGAAGCTAGAATAAAAGAAGAAAAGCTACAATGAAAGAAGAAGAAGCTTGAATGAAAGAAGATGGAGAAGCTAGAATGAAAGAAAAAAAAAGTTTGAATGAAAGAAAAGAAGAAGCTAGAATAAAAGAAGAAAAGCTACAATGAAAGAAGAAGAAGCTTGAATGAAAGAAAAGAAGAAGCTTGAATGAATGAAGAAGAAGAAGAAGAAGAAGAAGAACCGTTTTATGTAACGGCAGAATGTGACATTCACGCCTCGACCCACAGATGTTGGCATACAAATTCAGAAACAAATTTCCCAACTGACGCAACGTTTCGGCCTACCCATATCTCTAGCCTTCTGCAGTTTTGCAATACGTCCTTAAGATTTCAAGAGCTGCTCAAAGAATTAGAACGTAAAAATCTAATTGTTGGCTTAGAAAGTTAAAAACGCTATGAATATTTATTCTGACTGCCAAGTTTACAGACGTATTTAAATAAAGACCCTGACGACATGACAAACACTGACGCATATAGATTTATATAACAAATATGAATATCTATTTATACTAAATATTTAAATCTATATTTAAATCTATACTTATATAAGATTTATATAGATTTAATTTTTATATGAAAATTCACATATTAACTTTTAAAGAGTTATTTTAAATTAAGGGGAGATCATAATATTTTTTTAACATTTAATATTATGAATAAATTTACAATTACAAAGTAAATATATCATTGATATATATATATATATATATATATATATATATATATATATATATATATATATATAGTTAAAAAGTTCAAAATGAATGATCTTCCGAGTTGTATATATATATATATATATATATATATATATATACCCATATATATATGCATACATATATATGTACATATATATATATGTATATACATATATATGTCTATATATATGCAAACCCACACACATATAAAGAGAGTGCGTGCGTGCATGTGTGTGCATGTACGTGAGTTTGTATGCATGTGCATTCGTGTGTGTGTCTGTATGTACTATCTCCTCGTTTATATACAAATGCAGATGAAAATTACACATGCACAGAAAATATATATAACTTTAATAATTCATATATATATATATATATATATATATATATAGTATGCATGTTTGTACGTATGAATTTTTGAATTTGGTATTTGCAAAAGTAAAATAACAAAATAACAATATACATCCGTTAAAGATTGAATATATACATCATTTAATTGTGCCCCAAGGTGTTTAAATTTTAATTTAAAAATTTCCCGGGCGATTTAAAAAAAAAAAAAGATGTTAAAAACATTCATCAAATTTATTTATTTACTTCCTATCTTAACCATTTGCTTGAAGTAGTATTGATTTCTCAGAGATTTCACCTAATTTTCAATGGAAGCGGATGACGCCTACAAAATACCTTCCGAAGAATGTGCAAGCGCCCCCCTATACACATATATATATATATATATATATATATATATATATATATATATATATATATATATATATATATAAATGTATTTATGTATAGTAGAGTGTACAGATTTTATATTATATCATAAATAAATAGTTTATACAAAAAATATTTAGCAATGTTAATGAGATTAATGACAAAATCACTTCACTAACAAGACTTTATGAAGCATTAACTTCCTACCAATTCCTTGAATAATACGATCCCTATATTTGAGTTGTTGAATATTTGAGTTGTTGTCAGATGTTCAAATATAAACACTTTATATATATATATATATATATATATATATATATATATATATATATATATATGTTATTGTAAAAAAAGAACAGCAAGATATGTAATCCGGTGATCTTATTGATATTTTTATTTTTACAAAATAGTGCTCAATGTAAATTTACAAAGTATAAATATTATAAATTAACTGATTTAAAATGATTCCTTCTCGTTACATAGTAATAACCATGTTTCAAAACCTGAGCTAAAAAACTTCAAATTAATTATATAATTAAATTAAAATCATTAGTTCTGTTTTATCTTCAAGCGGATTTTAGAACTTCCAAAATTAGCTTGAAGATGAAACAGAACTAATGCTTTTAATTTAATATAATTGAATTTGAAGTTTTTGGTTACTGTTTTTGAAACATGGTTATTCCTGTGTAGCGATGAAACCATATTTTTAAATCAGTTAATTTATAATATATTATCCCCACACTCGAAAGGGGCGGGGCATGATTAGAGGATCTGGCCCGTACTTTGGGAAACTCATTATTTTATTAACATTTGGTTGTTCTACGTATATCTATATATGTTACAGATTAAATTAAGGACAATATTCCGCGGAATTTGGCGTCGTTCTGTTTTTTTTTATTTTTATTTTTCGTGCAAATCTGTGAATTTGTTTTGTCATGCCAACTCTCGAAAAAACTACTTCATAAAAATTCACTATTTTTGACACATAATGTGAAATGACTTAAAATTATTCAACTTTTTAACAAATAAAATATCAAGTTGATGTTAAAAGTAAAATCTCACGTTGTTGTTAAAAGTAAAATCTCTCGTTTATGTTAAAAGTAAAATCTCACGATGTAAAATCTCACGTTGATGTTAAAAGTAAAATCTCTCGTTTATGTTAAAAGTAAAATCTCACGTTGTAAAATCTCTCGTTGATGTTAAAAGTAAAATCTCTCGTTGGTGTTAAAAGTAAAATCTCTCGTTGGTGTTAAAAGTAAAATCTCTCGCTGTAAAATCTCTCGTTGATGTTAAAAGTAAAATCTCTCGTTTATGTTAAAAGTAAAATCTCACGTTTTAAAATCTCTCGTTGATGTTAAAAGTAAAATCTCTCGTTGATGTTAAAAGTAAAATCTCACGTTGATGTTAAAAGTAAAATCTCACGTTGTAAAATCTCTCGTTGATGTTAAAAGTAAAATCTCTCGTTGATGTTAAAAGCAAAATCTCTCGTTGGTGTTAAAAGCAAAATCTCACGTTGATGTTAAAAGTAAAATCTCACGTTGATGTTAAAAGTAAAATCTCTCGTTTATGTTAAAAATAAAATCTCACGTTGTTAAAAAGTAAAATCTTCGTTTATGTTAAAAGTAAAATCTCCGTTGTAAAATCTCGTTGATGTTAAAAGTAAAATCTCTCGTTGATGTTAAAAAGCAAAATCACGTTGTTGTTAAAAGTAAAATCTCTCGTTGATGTTAAAAGTAAAATCTCGTTGATGTTAAAAGTAAAAATCTCGTTTTATGTTAAAAAGTAAAAATCACGTTGTAAAAATCTCTCGTTGATGTTAAAAATAAAATCTCTCGTTTATGTTAAAAGTAAAATCTCACGTTGTAAAAATCTCTCGTTGATGTTAAAAGTAATATCTCTCGTTGATGTTAAAGCAAAATCTCGTTGATGTTAAAAAGCAAAATCTCACGTTGTTGTTAAAAGTAAAAATCTCGTTTATGTTAAAAGTAAAATCTCACGTTGTAAAAAATCTCTCGTTGATGTTAAAAGTAAAATCTCTCGTTGATGTTAAAAGCAAAATCTCTCGTTGATGTTAAAAGCAAAATCGTTGTTGTTAAAAAGTAAAATCTCGTTTATGTTAAAAGTAAAATCACGTTGTAAAATCTCACGTTGATGTTAAAAGTAAAAACCCTCGTTTATGTTAAAAGTAAAATCTCACGTTGTAAAATCTCTCGTTGATGTTAAAAGCAAAATCTCACGTTGTTGTTAAAAGTAAAATCTCTCGTTTATGTTAAAAGTAAAATCTCAAGTTGTAAAATCTCTCGTTGATGTTAAAAGCAAAATCTCTCGTTGGTGTTAAAAGTAAAATCTCTCGTTGATGTTAAAAGTAAAATCTCTCGTTGATGTTAAAAGTAAAATCTCTCGTTTATGTTAAAAGTAAAATCTCACGTTGTAAAATCTCTCGTTGATGTTAAAAATAAAATCTCTCGTTTATGTTAAAAGTAAAATCTCACGTTGTAAAATCTCTCGTTGATGTTAAAAGTAAAATCTCTCGTTGATGTTAAAAGCAAAATCTCTCGTTGATGTTAAAAAGCAAAAAATCTCACGTTGTTGTTAAAAAAGTAAAATCTCTCGTTTATGTTAAAAGTAAAATCTCACGTTGTAAAATCTCACGTTGATGTTAAAAGTAAAAACCCTCGTTTATGTTAAAAGTAAAATCTCACGTTGTAAAATCTCTCGTTGATGTTAAAAGCAAAATCTCACGTTGTTGTTAAAAGTAAAATCTCGTTTATGTTAAAAGTAAAATCCTCAAGTTGTAAAATCTCTCGTTGATGTTAAAAGCGAAATCTCGTTTGTGTTAAAAGTAAAATCTCTCGTTGATGTTAAAAGTAAAATCTCTCGTTGATGTTAAAAGTAAAATCTCTCGTTTATGTTAAAAGTAAAATCTCACGTTGTAAAATCTCTCGTTGATGTTAAAAATAAAATCTCTCGTTTATGTTAAAAGTAAAATCTCACGTTGTAAAATCTCTCGTTGATGTTAAAAGTAATATCTCTCGTTGATGTTAAAAGCAAAATCTCTCGTTGATGTTAAAAGCAAAATCTCACGTTGTTGTTAAAAGTAAAATCTCTCGTTTATGTTAAAAGTAAAATCTCACGTTGTAAAATCTCTCGTTGATGTTAAAAGTAAAATCTCTCGTTGATGTTAAAAGCAAAATCTCTCGTTGATGTTAAAAGCAAAATCTCACGTTGTTGTTAAAAGTAAAATCTCTCGTTTATGTTAAAAGTAAAATCTCACGTTGTAAAATCTCACGTTGATGTTAAAAGTAAAAACCCTCGTTTATGTTAAAAGTAAAATCTCACGTTGTAAAAATCTCTCGTTGATGTTAAAAGCAAAATCTCACGTTGTTGTTAAAAGTAAAATCTCTCGTTTATGTTAAAAGTAAAATCTCAAGTTGTAAAATCTCTCGTTGATGTTAAAAGCAAAATCTCTCGTTGGTGTTAAAAGTAAAATCTCTCGTTGATGTTAAAAGTAAAATCTCTCGTTGATGTTAAAAGTAAAATCTCGCGTTATTTTAAAAGTAAAATATCTCGTTGATGTTAAAAGTTAAATCTCTCGTTGATATTAAAAGTTAAATCTCACGGTGATGTTAAAAGTAAAATCTCACGTTGGTGTTAAAAGTAAAATCTCTCGTTGGTGTTAAAAGTAAAATCTCACGTTGGTGCTAAAAGTAAAATCTCTCGTTGATGTTAAAAGTTAAATCTCTCGTTGATGTTAAAAGTAAAATCTCTCGTTGATATTAAAAGTTAAATCTCACGTTGATGTTAAAAGTAAAATCTCACGTTGTTGTTAAAAGTAAAATCTCACGTTGATGTTATAAGCAAAATCTCACGTTGATGTTAAAGGTAAAATCTCACGTTTATGTTAAAAGTAAAATCTCTCGTTGATGTTAAAAGTAAAATCTCACGTTGATGTTAAAAGTAAAATCTCACGTTTTTGTTAAAAGTAAAATCTCACGTTGATGTTAAAAGTAAAATCTCACGTTGGTGTTAAAAGTAAAATCTCACGTTGTTGTTAAAAGTAAAATCTCACGTTGTTATTAAAAGTAAAATCTCTCGTTGTCGCAAAACAATTTTGATTTATTTAAGTTGGAAAGATGTATTATGACATGTCTCTAATCTGTATTTAGACACATTGTATTTATTTTCAAATTCTCTTGAATTGTTCACTTATAATCCATTAGTGTACACAATTAGGTTACCATAAAATTTGTATTTTATTTGGATTCTAGCTTATGAAAAATGAAATGTAGTAGGGTTGGGACCGTAGATTCGGGAGGGGCACACAAGCCTCTTGCATCGACCCCTTATTGTGCGTACTATGTACACATCAGTTATACATGTTGGAATATGTCGAGCGGGTCTAAAATGCCCATTTTCCAAAAAGCAGTCATCGACTACTAAATGATTACTTTAAAAAAACATGAAAATTTAGTTGTGGGCTGTCATTGTTCGCGATTCCGTCGATATGATGACATATTAAAGATGAAGGAGAGGGGACGCTGAGATTTTAAATTCATTTTTTTTTTTAAATATATGTGGCTATATATTGTAAACAAAGAAAAGAGATTGTAAGAAATGGGAAGAGTGAAGTAAAAGAGTATTTTGAAGACGAATAGGATAAAAATCGGTTGGCCCTGGACATAAAGAAAACATTCTCTCGGGAGTTTGCCTCACAAAGTAACAGTTCTGGGGAAGAACCTGTCCAAGCAGAACTTACTAGGGGAGGTGACGCGTCCGAACATCCGCCATATTAATTGCGATAAAATAGTAAAATGCTTATAACGCATCTGCAGTATAGAGTGGAAAATATTTCATCACCAACAAGGCCGCATAATCGCTTTGGCCTCTGTTGAGATTAGAGAGTGCATATTGGCCAGCAAGACAGAGTATGGCAGGAGGAGGGAGGTCCTTTTTGGAGCATCAATCGATACACACTGACCACTATGTCCACTTATGAATCCAGAGTATATCAAAAATACTTTTACAAACTTTGCGGGTGGCTTCCTCACACCAAAACTAGGACAAAAGTCCATATAAACATATGTCCGTAAATCCTTCAGTTTTAGTTAAAAAATTTAAATAAAATTTACGGTAGATAGCGCTGTGTTGCAATGTAGGCTAGGTAACATTTGTCAATCGTATACATTTGTATCTAGTCTCTCTTCAACGTTTCACATTCGTAGTAGTGATTTAACTGAGAATTGTTCCGTTTAAAAATGGCAGAATATTCATATCCTGAGCAGTCAGATATGGCTTTTGCATACAGCCGCGTTAATGGTAATGAACGCGAGGCTGCACGGCTGTATCAGTTTACGTTTCCAAACCGAAGGCACCCGAGCTACAAATGACAGGAAATTTGGAGAGATTTTATCACCAGCATCCTGAATGGATAAGGCAGATAGAAGAAAAATCGCTACACGACCCGTACCTCCTGACTTTAATATATATATATATATTTATATATATATAAAAGTGAACATAGAAGTCAACACTTAGGGCATCTGTTTCATGTTATATGCAATCGTCACAGACGATTGCATCTAACATTGAAACAGACTGTCACTTTTGATAATGTTCACTTTATTTACACACGCTCTATCTCTGATATTGAGCACTTTATCCCATAAATATAGCACACCTTAAGACTATATATATATATATATATATATATGTGTATATATATATATATATATATATATATTGTAACTCAACGAACACTCGTTGCCACTTTTGTAATGCCAACAAATATTCGGTGTCATTTTTGTAAGGCTCCTTGTAGTAGAGACTTTGTAATCGCAGATACAAACTATAGTAAGCCGTTAAACAATGCTGATTCTTTAGTTTTCATTTTGCGGTGTCTTGTTATTTTTTATGATAAGGTTAGCTGTTTTAAATTTGTTGTAGTAGATAATTTAATTTTCTTGGCCTAGGCAACTGTGTAACTCTTTATGAACTTTAAGGAATGGTTTATTTTCCAAATACGGTCAGCACATTGTGATCAATCAGAGGCCTTTCTGCCGGGCGTAGTTTATTGTCATACACATGACGACCATAGTTAATGTTATTCAGTGTTGCCTTTTTATTTTATTTATTTTTCCTGCTTCCATTATCTTTATTCTTTTTTTACATGTGGATGAGGCTGTTATACTTGTATCTTATACTGTATGCTTCGTCAGTGATCTTTAACGAAAAAAAAAAAAAAAACGGCGGCCCGTAGCACTTGTTAGAGTCCCAGCTATGGACAAATAGTTAAAACCGGCAGCATTTAAGTTAGCTCCTGCGGTGGGCTCTCGATTGGGCCTTCATCACAATCGGTAGGGAGGAGTGGATGTGACAGGCAACTATAAACTCAAAATTGATCGCTGCATTTAAGTTTAAGCTGACCTTTTAAAACTTCAACAATAATTCTTTTGCCGCCACGTAATTTACAAGACAATTTGATGTACGTAGGTCCTTATTTTCCGTACAAACAATCATTGTTGTTTCATGAGTGACTTTCGCTGGAATTCGCAAACAATTTAGATTATTGCGAAATTTATTGTCAAGTTATAAAAATTGTTATCTTTCCAAAAAAAAAAAAAAAATTTCTCGCAAAAAATCACATACAGAAATCACTGGAAACAATTGCAGTTCTGGAAACTTGAGAAGCAAAACATCAAGATTGCGGGTTTGGATCCGACCCGGGATGTTTTTAATTTGCTCATGGAGTCAGCCTGTTTCCCAAAAGGTATGCTACGTTGGGCTACAGCCTCTAGGAGCAAAGTTGAAAGAGTGTGACACACTGACATTCACATTTATTATATAGCGTGTCCATAAAGTTCGTGTGCACTTTAAAAAATATAACTTTATTTGTATTTGTGATAGAAATAATTTGTAAAAAGAATTAGAAAGATGTCAATGTATATTTTTTAAGGTTTTGGAAAGAATTAGAAAGAAGTAAATCTATATTTTCTTAAGGTTTTATTGAAATTTTATTTAAGTTTCTACATGTCCTCCATCATTAGCAATACAAAGGGTAATACGATTTTGCAGTTTACGGAAAACATTTACCAACTGATTTACAGTAATGCCTGAAATCACATTAGTTATTTTAGCTATACTTAAAATTAGGTACATTAAACTTTATAACATTTTTTACAGATTATTTTTATGGCAAATATAAATAAAGTTATAATTTTTTTAAAGTGCACACGAACGTTATGGACACACTGTATGTTTGTTTGTGTGTGTGTATGATTGTTTGTTGTGTGTGTGTGTGTGTGTGTGTGTGTGTGTGTGTGTGTGTGACCTAAAGGTAGATTTACACTTTTTAAAAATCAAAATCTCTTTTAGTGGATAATAAACAAAATATCTACGGTGTTTACACTCATATATAGAATATATTCCTCTGCCTGCTTGTAAAATATTCTCGTTTGAAATGTTCGTTAGATCTTGTCTACAATATCAACAATTCAAAGGACTGGTTATTATAAACCATTTACAACAGGAATCGTTTCAGTACCTCTCCAGTGCTTTAACTCTAAAAATCTAGAAAAAAAAATGTTAACATCTTTTTTCATTCTACGCCAAATCAGGAACATGTCAGGTTTTAGCGTTAACCTATTTTTGTAGCCCTGTCTGTGTGTGTCTATCTCAGAAGATGTGACAAGTATGCTTGGCTAATCATTTGATTAATCTAGGATGAAGTAGAACATATCAACGCAAAAGAAAGTCGATCCATAATCCGCCATTTGATGTTATTAAGCCGACAAGCAAGTTATCATATCGCTCCTCCTTGTTAGTCATCAGACGAACTGAGCCTTAAGGTGCTTAGTTGAAGGGAAGAGAGATAGAAAACAAGAAACAAGAAAATGTTTAACTATAAAAGAGACAGCATAGATTGTTTGAAGGGACTTATAATGGAAGCTGACGTCGGCAAATTCTTTTTTTATGATTTGTTGATGTGATTCAAAATAAACCACGATATTGCAGAGAGAGAAAGAGAGAGATAGAGAGAGAAAGAGAGAGAGAGGAAGTCATATAGGACGATAGAAGGAAGGACTAGAAAGGAGAGAGAGAGAGAGAGAGAGAAAATACAAGGGTGATTAGATAGATAGATAAATAGATAGATAGGATCAGACTGACATAGATAGATAGGATAAGATTGACATAGATAGATAGATAGATAGATAGATAGATAGATAGGATCAGACTGACATAGATAGATAGGATAAGATTGACATAGATAGATAGATAGATAGATAGATAGATAGATAGATAGGATCAGACTGACATAGATAGATAGGATAAGATTGACATAGATAGATAGATAGATAGATAGATAGATAGATAGATAGATAGATAGATAGATAGGATCAGACTGACATAGATGAATACATATTTAGGATCAGATAGATAGATAGATAGATAGATAGATAGATAGAATCAGACTAACATAGATATATAGGATCAGACTAACTTAGATAGATAGATAGATAGATAGGATCAGACTGACATAGATAGATAGATAGATAGATAGATAGATAGATAGATAGATAGGATCAGACTGACATAGATAGATAGGATAAGATTGACATAGATAGATAGATAGATAGATAGATAGATAGATAGATAGATAGGATCAGACTGACATAGATGAATACATATTTAGGATCAGATAGATAGATAGATAGATAGATAGATAGATAGATAGATAGAATCAGACTAACATAGATAGGTAGGATCAGACTAAATTAGATAGATAGATAGATCATGAAGAGACCAAGATAGATAGATAGATAGATCATGAAGAGACCAAGATAGATAGATAGATCATGAAGAGACCGAGATAGATAGATAGATAGATAGATAGATAGATAGATAGGATCAGACTGACATAGATGAATACATATTTAGGATCAGATAGATAGATAGATAGATAGAATCAGACTAACATAGATATATAGGATCAGACTAACTTAGATAGATAGATAGATAGATAGATAGATAGATAGATAGATAGATAGATAGATAAGATTAGACTGACAGATAGGATGAGGTTGACATAGATAGATAGATAGATAGATAGATAGATAGATAGATAGATAGATAGATAGATAAAAACAGAATGGAGCGAATAGAAGTAAATAAAAAGTAGATAACTAATGAAAGACAGAAGGGAAAAAAAATAGCAGAGTTCAGAAAAGAAGAAACAAGCACAATAAGAAGAAATGACAAAAGAAAGAAAAAACAAAGAAATGGAAAATAAACAGAAAGAAATTAAGAAAGAAATGAAAAGGAAAATAAAAAAGAAGAAAGAAAGAAAGAATTAAACAAGTAAAATAAAAGAAATAAAGAAGAAAGACAGGAAAGAAAGAAAGAAAAAAAGAAAGTAAGAAAGAAATGAAAATAACAGAATAAAGAAGTAAATTACACCAAAGCAAGGACAAAAGTCCATATAAACATATATCCGCAAATCGCTTATTTGGCATTAAGTTTATAGAAAGTTTACGATAATTGGCGCTGTGTTGTCACGTAGATTACGATACATTTGTAATTCGTGTACTTTTGTGGCTAGTCTGTCTTCAACCTTTAATGGGTGGAATAGTGAGTTAACTTATAATTGTTCCGTTTACCAATGACAGGATAATCATGATTTTTGCATACGGCCGCGAGAATTGTCATGGGCGCGAAGCTGCACGGTTGTATCAGATTGCATTTCCAGACCCCGAAGGCTGCTGAGTCAGCCAACCTTTGCTGTTGTTTCGCATCGCATTGCTGAGACAGGGTCCATAGCCCGACAAACTATGCATTGATAAAGTATCTTGGATTGTACATTTAACAGCGTCTACCTTAAACTTTAAACTTAATTGCTCAAAAAAGAAAGATTTGCAGACATATGCTTATATAGACTTTCACCCTAATTTTGGTGGGAGGAAATTGGCCCCAAAATTTATAAAAGCATTTTTGATATACCCTTTATTTATATATACATAGAATTAATTAACAATGTTAATGTGATTAATAGCGAAATCACTTCGCTAACAATTCTTAATGAGACATTAACTTAACATCTTAAAAAACAACATCTTTCAGTTTACGCATTTTTTTTCTTAGTGCTTGTATATGTATGGGAAAACTACGCAATTCCTATCGTACTTCAGAAGGTACGTGGCCATTTTCAGAGAAGAATGTCAAAGATGGCCCGATGAAAAGAAATTACGTCTTCTGTTACGAAAATTGAGCCCCTATGAACATGTAAAATATCGGAATTTCACTTTTTCGAATACGCCAGAAAAAAGTGCCATTTAATGAAACTGTCGATATTATCAAACATTTTTGGTGAAAAGAATTCACTTGTAGTACACGTTGGCAGTGCGTGAAACTTACTAAAAATGAAGAAGAAGACTTTGTCACATATGTCGGTAAAGTCAATCGTGGGTTTAAGAAATTTAAACTGGACGAACCCCAGACAGATTTAAATGTCTAATCTTCCTTAAATATCTAACATGAAACAACGGTGCGGAAATACACTCTCGAATCTTTAAAACATGAACATGATTCGAAGTTAACGATAGAGACAGTTGCGGAAGAGTGCCAAAAACTTGTCAATTTAAGGCACGATACAGCAAAATCGAACAAAATGGCACATCAGGATTGCATGTAGTTTGGAAAAAAGTCGTGCCAAAAGAAAAAACCAAAATAAAAATACTATCAAATTTAACCCATGCTATGGCAGTGGTATATTTTATTTCAGAAAAGACTGCTGTTTAAAACCAAAAAGTGATTTAAGTGTGGAAAAAACAGGTCCTAAACGAAGCTACTGCAAGTCGAAAAGCAAAAGAAATACACAAATTAGCTTAGTGAAAATAGTGCTACCAGATAAAAAACTGGAAAGTTTAAATAATTGAAAATTTGTGAGAGTCAAACTGAATAACGCTACGGTGACATTTCAACTGGACACTGGTTAGTGATATTACAATTATTGATGAACAAACTTGGAACAGTATTGGCAAGCCTAACTTGAAAAACCGATAAAGTTGAAAAAGGGATATTAGGTAAAAATTTAATTTTTAGGGGGAAAATTTCATGTAACATCACTCTTGCGGGTAAAACTAAAAAAAAAGCAGATGTTTACGTATTAAAGAAATTCCGACTAGAATTTAATAGGTGTCGATTGGCTAGAATTATTTGAACTATGGAATTGTTCGATTAATTAATTCTGTGGAAAACTTAATTTTTCGTCAGAGAAAACGATTCAGCTGAAAAAACCAAAAAATAAATTCGAGAATATTTTGTCAGAGGAGTTGGGAAAATTCACAAAGTCAAAGGCATTTTTCAAATTAAAAGAAAATGTGATACCAGTGTTTAAGCCTAAAAGAAATATACGCATTTCTGCGTTGGATTCTAACTTGTTAGCTTAGAAAACAGCGGAGTTATTGAAAATTAGATTTTTCAGAATAAGCACATGGTTTATATTAGAAAGAAAAAAATAATAAGATCCGTTTATGTGCAGATATTTCGACTGAGTTGAATGACTGCCTCCCCCAACATGTATATCCCCAACCAATTCCAGAGGATATGTTTGCCAAATTAAATGGTGGTAATTTTGTTTTTCAAAAACTGACCTGTCTGAGGTATATCTTCAAATCGAAGTGGGTGAGTGATTATAGAAACCAATACAACAGGCAAGGAGGTAATAGTTATGTGCACGGTCGTCGCAAGTTAGTACAGTTGTGTACGTGCTGATATCGGAAGGCCGTTAGTCTCGCAGATCCCAGCTCGACTCACTGTCCGCTGTCCTAACGGATACTTATAGGTGGTTACCACCTATAGTGCCGCCACTCATGGGGGTGACAAGTTATTCCATCACATCAGTGAGTAATGTCAGAAGTAATTGACTGTTAATACATATAAAGGACTCTACAAATTTAGAAGATTAGCCTTTGGTGTACAAGTAGCCAGAGGTATTTTCCAGCAATTAATGGATACGATGTAGGCTGGACCCTAACGTGCCGTCGCTTACATAGATGCCATTCTTATTAAGAGCGTCACGGAAGTACTGCATGTAAAAGAATTTTCACAGGATGATATTAGGAAGAAAATTCCTACTGCAAACTGATCATTGTCCATTATTAATATATTCGGTCCTAAGAAAGTGATTCCCGTGCATACTGCAAACAGATGTCAGCATTGGGCTATGATTTTTTTTTATGATTACAAGAGAGAATTTCTATCGTCAAAAAACCCCCAAAAAACTGGTGCTCGTAAATGGCTTGCCCAGATTGATATCGAAATGTAAAAGATTTTGAAGATACTGTGATTGCTTCGCTGGAATCTGAAGGCGAAATTAAAAATCTGGTGTGTAACACTATTAAAGAATTGCCGTCCACGATAGACGATATAAAGATTAATTCTAAAGAGGATACGTTTATTAAAAAAAAAAAAAAAACAACCCCAAAACCTGTGAATAAAGTCAAAATGGAGTAAAACTAAAATTAAACCTGGTAACAATAATATAGCATTTTCTAACTTTGTACCCAGAAAGAGTAGTTTCCGTTATCGCTACCTAAAAAGATTTTGAAACAATTCAACGTAGAACATCCGGGAATAGTGTGGGCGAAATCCCTGATGAGAAGCTAAGTTTATTGGCTAAAGTCGGACACAGATATTCAAAATACAGTTAGAAAATGTAATTATTGTAATTCAGCAGCAGAATAACCACCTATAAATTATCAGACATGGCCGAACACTAATAAACCGTGAGCATGACTACATATAGAATTTGCTGGACCACTAAACGGTTTATACTATTTAATTGTGGTCGACAGTTTCACAAAATGGCCCGAGATATAAATGTGTGAACGACCTGCACAATAACGATCAAATTCTTACGCGAACTTTTTGCAAGGTTTGGAGAACCTGACAGTGTAGTATTCGATAATGGAACTTAATTTATTTCTAGTGAGCTTAAAAATGTCTGCAAAAACTACGTGGTTGAACATTTGACAATGTCGAATGGTCAACCTTCAAAAGGGCATTACGAAAAGCTAAAGGCTTGGACGCTGAAGAAACGGCAGTACAAGAATTTTTGAGCGTATATCGAATTACGTCAAATGCAAATGTCACCTGCAGAGCTCATGTTTGCTAGGAAAGTTAGATCCATTTTTGACAAATTACTCCCAGGGAATAAAAAGAAAAGACGACAATTTTAAACTACCAGATCATTGAAGATCGATGATAAAGTTTTCTTTAAAAGCGTTAAAGCAGGAAAGGAAAATTGGCAGGAAGGAAAACTTATTCGTCGCCTTTGTATTATGATATACCTTGTTGAAGGTGAACGATTTCAACGAAGAAGGCATATAAATCAATTGAGGACTAGATATGCAAAGAATAAGCAACCAGTTTCAATTTAATTCACCGATGGACATACTTTATAAGACCTTTAATTTACCGTTTCTTAAAACTAATATTAAAATACAACGCCAGGGTAGGTGAAACGTAATCCGACTGAAACGTTGGAAAATGAACCATGTCGGAAAAAATATCGACTAAAGAAAGTGCATATCTAAAACGGGGGTGTTGGGAAGATGAACACAGCTCTCCTGAATATGAATTGGACTCCTCCTAATAGTATATATACTGATGCCGAGTATCATCAGCAGAAAGCTAGCCAGCATTGAACGTTATATCCTTACTACAGAATTCAGTAAGACTACGTCGACTCCAAGCGACATTATATTTCATGATTTTTTTATCTTCCTTTAATGGAATGGAGATATATCCGGCCCTCTATTTCATTAGAAATGCTTCTGATAGGCTCATTGAAGCGATCTCTGATAGTCCATGCCTTAAAGAAATACATTGTCACAAATACAGCTTACTCCTTACGAAGGACTGTAAAAATGTGTGTAAATTTAGGTTGTTTTATTTTTATTAATATTTATTTTTTTACAAATATAATTAGTGGAAAATATCATGATATCATTTTTTATCCTAGGTCTCTGGTTGTGACCTGGAAGGAAATGAGTATAGAACAAAAATCAAAAGGACATAATAATAATAATAATAATAATAATAATAATAATAATAACCGTTGTGAAGGGATAGGTCTGTATGTGGATTGGAGAGATCAGATATCAATCACTACGTGATAATCCAG